AACCAAACAATCCCTCCAAGGCACAAAAAACACACAAGGACTGGGTTGCAGAAAAAAAGCAGCAGGCATTATGTCTAGTCTAATGCTTGAAAATTTAAAATGTTTGGTTCTAGCTGAAGGCAGTTTGTCCACCAAATGGCTGGAGAATGGTAGTAAAGCACAATGAAGATAGTGATTTATCTATCCACTTAAAAAACAAGAAAACACCAAACATGTTTTAGCAATATACATTCTTGAATAGGAAAATGGGGCTTTAAATGCAGTGTTGAGGAAAAAAGATTTTGATAAAATATAATGAAAACAATTTTATTAATATACAGTAATACCTTGGTTTGCGAGTGTTCCGCAAGACAAGCAAACATTTCTGAAAAATTTTGCCTTGATATACGAGCGATGTCTTGCAATATGAGCAGGGCGTGACGCCAATCACAGGGATTGTGGGCGATCATCTCAGTCAACTTTCTGTGCGACTGTATATTGTACAATGGCCCCCAAGCCGAAAAAGGCTGAAAAGAAAGGTGGTAAGAAGGAGATGATTACGGTGGCAGTTAAGAAGGAAATGATTGAAGGTACGAATGAGGTATACAAGTGACCGAAATTGCAAGATTTTATAAGAACTCTGAGTCGACCATTAGCACAATATTAAAGAAGAAATAAGGGGGGTAGTTGCAGAAAAAGGAGTCACAAGAATATGAAAAGCAACGGCCACCTGTTCTGGAAGATGTAGAAAAGTTGCTTCTGGTTTGGATAAATGAGAAGCAACTAGCCGGTGATACTGTGAGTGAGAACATTATCTGTGAGAAGGCAAAGGCCTTGTACACCAACCCCATAAGTAAACTGCCAGGTCCAAGTACGTCGACAGAAAATGAAGAACTCTTCAAGGCAAGTAGGGGATGGTTTGATCATTTTAAGAGGAGAAGTGGCATCCATAGTGTAGTGAGGCACGAAGAGGCTGCGAGTTCAGACACTAAGGCAGCTGAGTCATTTGCTACCGAGTTCCAGAAGCTCATGGTTTCCGAGGGTTACCCGGTGGAGCAAGTTTTTAACTGCGATGAAACGGGGCTTTTTTTGAAAAAGATGCCAAAGAGGACCTACATTGCAGAAGAAGAGAATGCAATGCCTGGTCACAAGCCTGTTTCGTGCTAATGCAGGTGGGGATTTCAAAGTCAAGCCCCTGCTCGTGTATCATTCCGAGAATCCACAAGCCTTCAAGAAATGTAAGGTGCAGTACAGCCAGTTAAATGTTATGTAGAGGTCCAACAGCAAGGCTTGGGTCATTCGTATCTTGTTCGTTGAGTGGATCAATTAGGTCTTTGGACCTGCAGTGAAGAAATACCTTTTAGAAAGTAATCTGCCACTCAAAATATTGCTGGTTATGGATAATGCTCCTGCTCATCCTCCAGGCCTTGAGGACGACTTACTGGAAGAATTCAAGTTCATTAGGGTTAAGTTCCTTTCTCCCAACACCACTCCAATCCTCCAGCCAATAGATCAACAAGTAATTTCCAACTTTAAAAAGCTTTACAACAAAGCACTATTTCAGCAATGCTTCGAGGTGACCGAAGGAACAAACCTTACCCTCCGAGAGTTTAGGAAAAATCATTTTCACATCGTGAACTGCCTCAAGATCATAGATAAAGCCTGGGATGGGGTCACCAAGAGAACCCTCAATTTTGCTTGGAGAAAACTAAGGCCTGATTGCGTTTTTGTACATGGTTTAGGAGGGGACTGCTCATGAACAGGAGTCGCCAGTTTTCAATGAAATTGTGTCCTTGGGGAAAACCATGGGACTGGAGGTGAATGAGAACGACATTCAAGAGCTGGTGGAGGAACATGGCCAGGAGCTGACCACTGACGAACTGATGCATCTGCATTGCGAGCAACAGCAAGAGGTAATGGAGATCTCATCTGTAGAGGAGGAGAATAATGCAGAGGAATCCCTCACTTCAAATAAGATTAGAGAGATGTGTAAAATGTGGGAAACAGTGCAAAATTTTGTAGAAAAGCACCACCCGAATAAGGCTGTAGCAGTGCGAGCGATGAATCTGCTTAACGACAATGTAATGTCACATTTCCGCTAAGTCCTCAAAAGGAGGCAAAAGCAAGCGTCATTGGATAGATTCCTTGTTAAGGTTTCACAAAGTGAAATTAGGAGATTAAGGGGGGACATGATTTTCACATACAAAATGTTCCATAGTCATAGCAACATTAGCAATAAACTCTTCACGATAAATTCCGTAACAAAGACTAGAGGACACCACCTAAAACTGGTAGAAAAAAAATTCAAACACAAGGGGCGTAGGGGATTCTTCTCAGTTCGCGCGGTTAGGGTCTGGAACTCACTGCCGCAAGCAGTGATTTCAGCTAATAGTCTGGAATCATTCAAGAGGCTTTTGGACGATTTCCTGAGAAACGGTAATATACAGGGGTACAAGTACTCCTAAAAACGAGATGACGCGAGGATCTTTACACCCACACACACACACAATGGGTTGGACTTGATGGACATATGTCTTTATTCAACCTCAAATACTATGCAACTATGTATCTATGAAATTCGCTTTGATATACAAGCGCTTTGGATTACAAGCTTCCGGAACAAATTATGCTCGTAAACCAAGGTATTACTGTATCATGTTTAAATCACAGTAAAACCAGTCATGTAATCATATGTATATAACAGAGTATCCTCAAAAAGAAATCACTGATATACGGCCCAAAGTCGACGTGTTTCGCAGTATTCTACTTTTTCAGGATGGGGCTTAATCATATCCATATAAAAAGGATCACACTTGTCTGAAACATAAAAGTTAAAAATACAGATATCATTTGTTTTTGTTTCAATATCTCTCTTCTTTCATGCACAGAGGCTGGTCCTTCTTGGTCCTGCATGATGTAAACACTTGCTACTGGCTGTCCAGTGGCGTGGTCCCCTCAGAATCTAGAAGATGGACCGGGATGATGACGTCCACGTGAGGTGACCTCCGGCACAGGATTACTGCAACTGGAAATGGATCCAGCAAAGGACACAGACTTCAGTATTAAAGTGCTTCACACGGAATTTAAACATGGACTAGGTTTTGCCAGGGCTTTAATACCCAGTTTGGAGGCCAAACTTCACTTCTTTTTCTGAATTACCAAATTCCCTTTTAAGACGTGAGATTGGGCAGGCCTTAAACAGTGTGTGGGGAAGCGTTGGCTTGGTCACATGTTGAAATATTCCTATTTTAAAAAGATCTACATTACAATACAACTATAGTGTGATGTACTCCAAGATAAATCAACAATAAGTTGTTCTAAACTGACCTTACAAAAAAATCTGCAAAGGGTGATGGCACAGACCTTTGTTGCAAGGTCTATTTATTATTATGAATTTTAAAGTTAATATAATAATGTTGCAACAAAACAAGAGCCAGTAGTGACATCAGCATTTGTTTTGTTTTTTTAAAAATCTGCAATGCGATTGTTGACTTTTCTTGCCTGGCTTCAAGAAGTATGTATGCAGATCAGGAAAGCCAGCATTCAGTCACAACGCTTAAATGACAAATGTGCAAATAATGTCTATTATAATAATCTCAGTTATAAAATTACAACCTGCACACAGATACAGGCTGCCCAGGATATATGTGAAATAAGACAGTTTCTCTTGACCAGGGAAGATTTTATAGCATTCAACTGCAAATTGAAAGGCAATACAACCCACAATTTAAAGTATTAAAGGCCAGAGATGTGATCCACTGTTTCAAGTAGGGCTTTAACTAATGATTATTTTCATAAATTGATTAGTTTTCTATTAATTGGATTAAAAAAAAAAAAAAAACATCCTTAATTAAAAAATAATACACATATGCAGTGTTACAAAGTTTACTTCAGAATAAAACTGCATGCACAATTTTTGCAATTGCATTGCACTGGAGCGCACGCCATCGCGGTTCCATGTTTTCCAGTGCGGGCGATCACAGTGTGGGTGGGAGATGTGTTTGGGGTGCCATTGAAATGAATGGCACTGCAACGCACCTTCCGCAGCAGAATTTGTAAGGCCCAAACCAAAAAACTTTTTTCCCACCTTCTTATAATTTTTATTTTAATAATTGTATTGTAAGTTCATGGTGCTTGACTAGCTTCAGCCAGGGAATAACAGCTGCCAGTAGCAAGATTCCGCAGACGGCAGCTGAATGTAAATACAGCAGGTAGTGGGCTGGTGAAATAGCCAGCCTGCGATTGCCCATTTCAAATTGCAAAAGTCAATAGCAGGCTGGCTATTGCACCTGCCCACCTCCCAGCATGGAGGAGAGAGGTAGGGGATCCAACCACCTAAATCGATAATGAAAATAGTTGACAACTATCCTCATGGATTATCGATTAGGTGGTTGCAGCCCTAAGTTTCAAGTGCTTGAGGTTCCACAAACATTAGATATCAGAGATTGAGCCATTTTCAGGGCACCCTCTATTGTGTATGGCAGCCACTAAAACATTTCTCCAGCTGAAACTTTTTTTCTTTTCCTGGATAGAGAGGTTAGGGTTAGAAACTAGATAGGAAGTGATGGTAGATCTCCAACAACACAGACACAAATATTTTCTTTTTTGTAGAGTAGGGGAAGGCTAGGACCGGGGAAAACATGTTTAGCAAAAGAAAAAAAAAAATAGTTTGGCTGGACATAACATTCTTTTCTTTTTTTTAAAGTTATATTTGTACTACTGATCTATTCCTCTCAGTTCGGATCCATAAAACACTCAAATTATCATATAATTTTGCATAAAAATTTAATAAGGAATGGTTAAGAAAATATAGAAGACACAATATACACTTTTTAAGGCACAGCTTTATGTAATTCTTTCAGTTCCTACATTTATAAAAAAAAAAAAAGAAAAGCTGAACAAAAAATGCAAAATGTACGGAAAAAAAGATCATATCAATTTTATAAATAAAGAGCTATTTACTTCAAAACTTAAATAAAAAAATATTACAAACGTTCTTCACATGCCAAAACAATTGAATACCACTGCAGAGTCTATGTACAGTATTATTAGTGACCAATATCATACATAATATCACACGGTCAAGTGAAGAAACAAGCACTATCTAATTTTCCTTTTTGCCATTGTTTCTCTGATCTGACGATCCAGTTCACTAATGATTCTGTCTTCATGAGTATACACTCCAGTCCTTAACAAGGTGTCCCTCTCTTCAATTAGCCGAGATAGGAAGTCATCCAAACCTTCATCCTGCTGTTGGGACCCTGAACTAGCCATTCTTCCATCAGCAGTATTTCCAGCATCAGGGGCATGCTTTCTGTCATCATGTAGTCTTAACCTAACAAGAAATTTATGATAGGACATCTTACAAAGCACTACCAACATTCAATTCAAGATGTATGGTTTTCATGTTGATTCCACAATTAATGGATGAATTGCACCCACTATATCTCCAGCATTGGTGTATAACAAAATATTGTGTTATTTTTAAAGCGCTGATGCCAAGGCAATTCAGTTCAGTTGTCTACAGTTCAAAGTTTTCCACAGATCAAAAAAAAGGACACTTGATGAACTTTTCCTCAAATCAGTTTCTTTTACCGCAGAGATCTTAGTGCCTCAATGCATCAAAATAGGCGGGAATGTTGTAGGTACAGATTTAAATGTTAAGAGCTCCTTTAGGTGTTAGCTTAAGTGTTAGGAAAATAAAGTATGCATAGCTAAAACTTTTTTTACATTTTGAATAGCACAGGAAGGGTTTAAAACCCTGTCGGGTCATTTTTTTTTTAGATCTCATTTATTTCCTATCCAAGATACACACAAGTGAGAGTAAATCTTCCTATAGTGACGGGAATTCCCCTCTCATACAGTTGTTACCAGAACATGTGTACCTATCGGAAGACCTACCCTCTCATGTCCTTAGGACACATTTGGTGTTTTTCCTTACTTTCTGTCATGGTGACAATGGTCACCAGAACAAATAGAGTGATAAATCTTCCCAGTGAGGACATAGACCGCAATCAAAACTTGACAGCGTCTAACCCTTTTTCATTCTTCTAGTTGAAGTGCGCATAGAAGGGCATGTCTGGGAAGTAAGGCGCACCTCTTGGCTGTTCTGCACAGGGTGGGAACATACAGGATGAGCTCAGTTGTGGGATGGGTGCACTCCTAGGTAGGTAACGTGAGGTCAATGAAACAGCTGAAAGTACCTATTTAGTTCATTCTTGATCTCCTCTAGCTCCAGGCGTTCATTCTTCACTATGTCCTTCTCTTCTGCTGCCAGATAACGCAGTCTCATTTGCTCCAGTTCTTCCTGCTGTTTCTTTAGACGTGCCATAGCATTCTCTTGCTCCCGCTAGAACAAACAAAAGTAAAATTAACAAGAATGTTTAAATCCCCATTTTAGAAATATGAGAATAGTTGGTTTAATTCAGGGATGTCCAAACTCCGGCCCTCCAGCTGTGGTGGAACTACAAATCCCATGAGGCATTGCAAGATTCTCACAGCCACAGACATGACTCCCGCAGAGAGATGCATCATGGAATTTGTAGTTTCACCACAGCTGGAGGGCCGGAGTTTGGACATCCCTGGTTTAATTGGACGAAATATGTCAACAGAACTTAATGTAAGTTTCTCTAGAAAGTAAAAATAATGTGTTGGGGAAATGTGTTGAAGTAGTCATATTATTTTTTATCGGTTGGAATAAAAAATAAAATATTTTTCTTCCATAAGCTTGGTGAGCGTTACAAATATACATGATGATTTACACCGACACACCTTTAATACCTATATTGTATACACTACACTAGTACTATGTTAATGAGGCTGAAAACATTTCACTGCTATGATTTTTTTTGAACTTCAACTCATTTTGTGTTTGTGCCGAGATGTTATAATAGGAAAGTTAAGACTGAACATCTAAAAACTGTATTATCTTTCCTCCCCCAGTGAATAAGCCTTCATAAAGAATAAAAGAAAAAAAAATAAGCAGTCATTAAAACTTTATGAAACTAGAATTTATGAATGCTCATATAGCATGCTACAAGTAAAGAAAATAGTAAAAATAAATACTACTCCTGCTACTGCTAATAATAACAATAACAACACTATAAAATACTAACATTTTGAAGACTGCAAAATACATTTTCACATGATGCATTATTGGTGAGCTCTCACACCTCAAAATAAATGCCTGCTTTTGAAATGTGTCCTTTTTTGCACTTTATACATTTATTGGAAACTAAACTCCGGCAGGCAAACTAACAAGAAGTTCAAACTGCTCAAACTGTACACCTATTATTCAGATACAGAAACTTTATTTCATATAGGCATTTACACATCTTCTTAGATATCACAATCTTGAACAATTTCAGAAGAAGTCTCACATAAATGCTAAGCTCATACCTTGATCCGTACTCAGAAAAACCTCTCATGTCCCTCTACAGTTAAGAGTATTCGAAAGCATAGAGAAGCCAACTATGAACACATCCAATTATCATATGTAAAAAAAGGATTATATATTATACGTGATTATTTCAAGACATGTATGCCGTTTATGAGAACTGCGATTTACCAGTGTAATACAAGTAACCAGTAATGAATCTGTCATTTCCTTTGCAGTCAAACAGAATTTTACCATGAAAACTTTCTTGAGCAATTTGCCAGGTTATTAAAAGTGTCCACTGTTATTTATTAAGCCAATATAATATTTCATGCCTATGAAGTGAACTTGAAACCCCAAGAGAAACCTTTCCACTAACTACGCTATGTCATAGCAATGTAAATCCCAGTCAAACTGGTACAGAGATAATGTGGAGTGGGGGAACGTGTAATTCTTACAGGCCATTAAGTACACTGTTAAATTCCACAAATCAGCCGGTCTCAAATACCCCGGCTACGACTCAGAAGTTCGGTATTAACATTGAAGACATTAGGGAGAGTAACAGGGGTGCTGTGATAGCTTGCATTTGCTGTGTTATGGGATCGTGCCTAGTGACTCTCTGAACTATGTCTGGCTCCACTTGATATCATCAATCTTTCACTCATATAAGCTGCAACTGAAAATTAATTATTGCTTTATATACATTGTGTTTTGGCAGGCTGACTGAGTCATTAATACATTAATATACGAACCAACTGTAGCTGCATGTGTAAAACATGACTATTTACTATGGGGCACTTTTAGGCATTGTCAGACGTCTTTAAATTAATAAGCAGTGAGAATGAAGTGAACCGTTTTATGAAGGCTGAGCGACAATTAAACTAATGTAAATAACAAGACATGATTAAAGTTAAAACAAACTCATGAGTAGAAAATGCAAAGCATTCATTTATTTTACATTTCTGTCTAAGTATGTCAAATCTAATAATTGAAATAATCACACACAATATAATATGAATTAAAAATACAGAAATTATTGCTAAGCAATGCAGTTTGCTGTGTGGACTGAACAGATCAGTAACAAATTATTATTAGGGAGTAAAAAAAGGCTGGTAAACACAGTTATATTTAATATACAATAATATAAAATAATATAAACTTCACCAAACTCAAATGTAGTTCCCATATTTCATGCATTGCTCTACACTTAATGAAAAATGTCAATGATAGTTCCTACACAGCACTCTGCATATACAGCTTTATGATGGTGATCATATACAAAATGTAATAGTATGACACAGCTTGGAGAGAAATAAAACTGCTGCCTAATATTAGGTCCTTGTTTACCATCACAGTGTTTTACATCTAAAACAACTTCCCCACTCATGTTACTGTAAGTAAACTAAACAGCAGCATGAAGCACAGGATATGTGGAATAGCAGCAAGATAAAGTGTTATCTGGCTCTCAGGGAGATGCTGATAGGGCCGCTTTATCTGGAGCACTCATACAGTAGGATGCCATGCACTCTCTGCTTCCATCACATTTTCAACACTGGATGGGTGCTAGATAGTTTGCATGGAGTGTTGAAATTTCGGAAATCTAGCGGCAAACCTACCGAAGCACTGTACAAATTTACAAGATACAAAAGGACTCTTAAAGAGTTGTTCAAAGAAGAATGTTTTCTTCTAAAAAAAAAACAAAACCCCAAAACAAAGCATATTGAAAGCTTATATAAAAACGAACACATATAATATTTTATATTAAAGCCCAACTTCCGCTTACAAAAAAAGGAAATGCTCAGTATCCTGCCCTGGTTAAAGCTGAACTTCAGGCAGATATAAATAACACCGTTTAGTGCAGGTCTGTAAATACCAATACATCATGAAATATATTATTATGAATGCAAGCAGTGTACGTACTGTACCTGAATATGACTTTGCATCAGCCTTTTGCAGTCTACTGTATGGTCTGTACAGCAGAGCCCAGAGAAGGAGAAGGAAGAAGCAACAGTCAAATCAGGAGTGCTGCAGTGCATGCTGATAGGAGGCGACAGCAGGATGACAGAGATGAGCTCATTAGTGTGCTGCTTCTCCTTCAGTCTAGGTAGAGGCGAGGAGGAGAACTGTATATAAAAATAAAACTGCAGCAGAGAAAAATCAGGTGCAGTCTCCTGCTAGACAGGATTGTGCTGTGGGTCAATCTCAGAATTGGATGGACAAAATACAAATCCTTTGGCAGGTAAAACGGCTCATATGTTTTGTATTTTATGGTTTGCCTGGAGTTCAGCTTTAAAATAAAAAATCAGCTTTCACTGCATTGCACCCCATCTCTAGGACTGTCCCTCACACAGACCTACTGCTCAGCAATCCAATGCTGGTCTTCTTCCAGGATAAACACACTTCCTTTTAGCCCAGGGCGTCAAGAACCAGCCCTCTGAGGGTACATTAGCAAGCCACCTTGAGCTCACATAGAAGTGCTGCAGAGAATGGCACTACATCAATATGTAGCACTGTTCTCTGCACCATTAGGAACCTGAACATCACCTGAGGCAGGGAAAGAGGACTCATAATGTCAATGTGACTGCACCAAAAATCATTGAAAAAAAATATCAATCCATTATGTTTCATTGATCTGACTTTGCTATTGGTGAAAGGGAAACATCACTTTGTACACAAGCTGTTCTATTTGACTTGAACAAACCAGTTAACTTAAATATCTATAGCAAAGCTTCATAATGTGTGTGTTGTGAGGGATATTTCTGTGTAAGAAATTTCCTTGACTGTACAGATACACATTTCTGGCAATAAGCATTAACACTTGGCAATAACCAACTAAGCTATGATAAATTATAGAAGGAGAAACATGAAAATATTATTTGTTATAAGGTTGTAAATAATCTATAAAAAGATCACAAATACTGATTATGCAATGGGATAACACGATACTACCCTTGTGTTACATTTACAATATAGCCATGTTAGGCATACTATACCACTGAAAAAGGTATACAAAGATGGAGTAAGTTTTATTACCCCACCAGATTCACACTGACATAAACAGACCACCACAGTGTTATATAGTTACGTCTACGTTTGTGCCTGTTAGCAGTTTACTGATGGCAAAGGTATAAGGATTGTTGACTGCAGAATAATTTTGTTCCCTAGCTGCTGTGCAAAGCTATACATTGTGAACACTTCATGTATGCATAATATAAAAAAGGAGAAGAAAAGAAACGTTATAGTATATGTGTTCAAAGAAATGACTGACCTAAAGAACCCTGATTTTGCTAATCAATGTGATATATGGCATTTTCCTAAACAATGTGAATTTACAGGTCCTAAATCCTCCTATTCCCAAAAGTATTTTTATTACACACGTGCGCTTCCATGAATACTCCCTAATCCCTTTAATGTACACAACTCTGTGGAGTGAGAAATTGAAACTAAACAGATACTGTATGCAGATTTAAGGTTTTTTGTTTTTTTTTTTCAGCTCAACTGGACACTACAAAAAGATTCTAATCCTTTTCAGAGTAAAAGACCAGTTTAGTGGAATAACATGCAATCTATAACTGCTACACCAGTTATTTTTTCTGTAGAAAGGTATGGTTTACCTAAAGCAACACAATATCTCATTTCTTTTATTTTCAACCATGGCAAAAGCACCTTGTGTCCAAAACTTTACTACATTCTCAGCTTCCTGCTTTTGTATTTGACTTACTGCTTTTATAAAGAGTCTGGTTAGAGCTTGAGGCGAGATAACAGGAATCTCTGGCAAGGCTCTCAGGCTTATTGCACTGTATATGAAAAGCCCAACTCAAATCTCCTCCTGCCTTTTAATCTCATTATTATTATACAGGATTTATATATCGCCAACAGTTTGCGCAGCGCTTTACAATATAAGGGAGACATTACAATCACAATACAAAATCAAGACAAGATTATAATCCTATATTGAAACATTTTATGATTTG